CAAAAAAAAAAAAAAAATTATTCTTCACTAAATACCACTTTAACACTGCCTATAGCAGCAACAAAGGCAAAATTAATGTACATATCCACCAATAAGAAAAATATTAAAATGACCATACTACCCAAAGCAATCTACAGAGTACAATGCAATCCCTATCAAAATACCAATGACACTCTTCGCAGAAATTTTTTTAAAATCCTAAAATTGGTATGGAACCACAAAAGACCCCCAAAAGGCAAAGCAATCTGGAGCAAACAGAACAAGGCTGGAGGCATCACCAATACTTGGCCTCAAAATATACTACAGAGCTATAATATCTAAAACAACATGGTACTAGCATAAAAACAGACACACAGATCAATGGAACAGAATAAAGAACCCAGATATAAATTCACACATTTACAGCCAACTGACTTTCCACAAAGGAACCAAGAGCATATTGGGGGGGGGGGCGGGAAGCCCTCTTCAATAAATGGTACTAAGAAAACAGAATAACTGTAAGGATAACCATATGCAGAATTAAACTAGATCCTTATCTATCACCATATATAAACATCAAAATGGATTAAAGACCTAAATGTAAGACCTGAAACTGTGAAATTACTACAAGGAAACACAGGGGAAATGCTTCAGGATGTTGGTCTGGGCAATGATTTTATGAACAAAATCTCAAATCACAGGCAACGAAAGCAACAATAGGCAAATGGAATTCTATTACACGAAAAAGCTTCTGTACAACAAGGGAAATAACAGAGTGAAGAGACAACCTATAGGATGGGAGAAAATATCTGCAAAATATTCATCTGGCAAAGGGTTAATATCCAGAATATACAAGGAGCTCACCAGCAAAAAAAAAACCGCAAAAACACAAAATAACAAAAACATTTAAATGGACAAATGGGTCACCCAAGGTGGCTCACATCTGTAATCCCAGCCCTTTGGGAGGCCGAGGCGGGTGGATCTCCTGAGGTCAAGAGTTCAAGACCAACCTGGCCAACATGGTGAAACCTCGTCTCTACTAAAAATACAAAAATTAGCCGGGAATAAGTGGCAGGCACCTGTAATTCCAGCTACTCTGGCGGCTGAGGCAGGAGAATCACTTGAACCCGCGAAGTGGAGGTTGCAGTGAGCTGAGATCATGCCATTGTACTCTAGCTTGGACGACAAGAGTGAGACTCCGTCTCAAAAAAAATAAAATGGACGGGCCGGGTGCGGTGGCTCAAGCCTGTAATCCCAGCACTTTGGGAGGCCGAGGCGGGTGGATCACGAGGTCAAGAGATCGAGACCATCCTGGTCAACA